TATGTGGAATTACTCCCCAAAATACATTATGCTTCTTCTCCCGAGTATGGGGATACCACATGTGATCCTCAGAAGGGCAAGTGGTTAAATACTCCAGTTTTGAAAAGGTGCAGAAGGGAAGGGATAGGGATCCTATCTGATATTGTCTGTAACTTCACAGAGGAGATTTAAGCTGGCTATACATTATACAATGTTCTTGTTTAATTTCCTTTAGATTTACCCTCAACTATATAGTGCAAGGGCCTGTCTGATTGCACATAAATTGAAAGTGTTTAGGTTTGACCTCTTATTATATGGTTTTGGTAAAAGTAAAGGAAAATTATACTAGAAAATTGTATAATGTATGGCCAGCCTTACTCTCAACTCTTATGACACTAGGAAAAGTGAGAACAGGGCTTAGTGGGGAAGGAAGACAGACTGCTATAAAAATCTCAGAGGCCTAATCTTTTTTTTTTTTCTCTGTTCTACTAAAAAGTGTGTGTTTTGTTTTTTGAGAAATGCTCTGTTCCTGTTGGAGAGCAATTCCAAGCTCTTTCTAAAACAGGTTATGTTCTAAGGCCTATATCCATCATTAATAATTCTTTCTAGGTAATTGCCGTGTTAAGAGAATTCTGAAAACAAGTTCTGGGTGAGCTGTGAAGACACATTTATAGGTGTAAAGACATGGGACTGCAGTGTGAACCCAAGCCAGTGCTGTAGCCCCTTTCTTGGCAACATCAAAATCATTGCATTCATTGCAGTACATTTTAGACAGCATCCCAACTTTTTGTGAATTGGGGTTGTAATAGAGAGGAACACTTAACCACTCACATCTGGGAAGATTAGTGTGCCGCTGTTTCTCCTCCCTGAACGTCTTATTGCAGCTGAGAACAGAGGGTATGTGATTACGTATAAAAAGGGGAAAAAAAGTATTGATATTGTTTTTTTTATATGTACAGTATACACAAGTGTTTTATCTCTTTCATTTCTATTTGTAACTGAATGGGTTGCTTTACAAGGTGAGGATTATTATATACTTTAAAGCCAGGTATGAATTCTATGAAGTATTGGCGAGGTCAGTTAATAAAAAAAAAAAAAAAAAAAACGCCTATAATGACTGATACCCCTAGAGATAAGATTTTAGAACCCTTCCCTACTCTGATGCAAGTTGTAGGCGTATATTGCAGATGCCTCTGCTGACTTTGTCTGCTAGAGCCTCCTCCACTTGTAGGGCACTATGGTTAGGGATCTGGACTTAGGGATTCCACCTCTTAAAGTCAAACTTTGTGGGGTCCCTGTTTTGGGGATCAACTGTTTGATTTGGAATTAAAATCTGTTTTAGATTGCACAGCTAACGGGAAGAAGGCTTTCCCTTGAAGAAAAAGGTCTTTCTAGGCAAGCAAAATTTTCATCCATTTAGATTGTTCCAAGTTAGCCCAGAAGCTAATCAGAAGAAAGCCTAGAACACGCTTAAACACAAGTTAAACTGTGGGTTTCTGTTCGTCCTCCTACAACCCAGTGACCCACATCCTTTCAATGGGAGTAAGATTGGGATCCTTCTTTCCAAAGTGGGGAAGCATTTTCATCAAGGGGATCATTGGCAGGGTTAATTTCAACATCAAATGTCGATTTAGTTTTAGTCAATCTTTTGACTAAAATACCATTTTAGTTTGAGGTGTATTTTAGTCTTCTAAAATCTAATGGGTTTAGTTAAATTGTAATGCATTATTTAAGCATTTCTCTTGAATTTCCAAACTCCTTATATACTCCTGGAGTAATAATCAAAAATCTAATGAGGTAATTTATGATATTAAAGCGGAATTGCACCCAAAGGGGAAGTTCTGCTTTTCTAATTCCACAGAGTACCATTGGGATTCTTTTGTTTCTAGAAGATGGTGCAGATAAGGGTTTGGTCCTCGGCACCCTCAAGATGCAGTTGGTGGCCCTTAGTGTTTTCTTAGAAATTAGTTTAGCAGAAGATTCGCTAATAGCTAGATTCTTAAGGACTCTGGCCAGGTCCAGACCAGTGCCTTTGAAAGTGTTTCCCAATTGGGTCTTTTCTGTAGTTTTGCAGGCATTATTCAAAGAGCCCTTTGAACTGTTGAAAGAAGCCACTTTGAAATTGCTCACTCTTAAAACAGTACTTTTAGTAGCGGTTACCATATTTTTCGTTCCATAAGACGCACCTGACCATAAGACGCGCCTAGGTTTTAGGTGGGGAAAAACAAGAAAAAAAATATTCTGAACCAATGGACTGCAGACATAGTACAGGAGAAGACCAGAGACTGCAGACAGTACAAGACATGACCAAAGACTGTGGACACAGTACAGGAGAAGGACAGAGACTGCGGACAGTACAGGAGATGACCAAAGACTGTGGACACAGTACAGGAGAAGGACCAGAGACTGCGGACAGTACAGGAGATGACCAAAGACTGTGGACATAGTACAGGAGAAGGACCAGAGACTGCGGAGACAGGAGATGCAGAGACTGCGGACACAGTACAGGAAGGACCAGAGACTGCGGACAGTACAGGAGAGACCAGAGACTGCGGACACAGTACAGGAGAAGGACCAGAGGCTGCGGACACAGTACAGGAGATGGACCAGAGACTGCGGACACAGTACACGAGATGGACCAGAGACTGCGGACACAGTACAGGAGATGGACCAGAGACTGCGGACAGAGACTGCGGACACAGTACTGGGGATGGACCAGAGACTGCAGACAGTACAGGGCCTGACCAGACACTGCAGACCTTTAGGGAGGGAGGGGGAGCGGGTACCTGAATTTGACAGGTACCTGCTCCCACTTCCGCGGAGTTCTCCTTCCTATACTGTGGGCACCCGACTTTGACAGCTGGGTGCCCACTGCGCATGCGCGAGAAGCGCTGCGCTTTGTGAATGGCCCGGCATCTTTTGGGACCTGTCATGTGTCCCAGAAGACACCAGACCATTCACAAAGCGCAGCGCTGCTCACGCATGCGCAGTGGGAACCCGGCTGTCACAGATGCCGGTGCGGGAAGACTACAGCGCTGGACCGACGAACAGGTGAGTTCCTGCTGCAGAGAACAGCTGAGCGGCCAGCCCGGTATTCTGACATTGTGGCGGCGGAAATACCGGACCGGCTGCTTTATATTCGCTCCGTATGACGCACTGACATTTGCCCCCTTTTTTTGGGGGGAAAAAAGTGCGTCTTATGGAGTGAAAAATACGGTACTTCAGCCAGGAAAATGAATGAACTTCAAGCTTTCTGTCTGTGAATCATTTTTGACGCTCTTTTCACACTGAACAGTGTGATCCTTTTTTTTTTTTTTCTGAAAATATCCCCTTATTTATCAAATGCATATTTTCAGGAAAAAATACACTAAAATGAATTTTAGTGCTATCACTAATTTTATACCCAATGTTTGGTAAAAATATAAAAGATTGGGTTGCATCAAGTAAATAGCAAACAAGTTTTAAAATTGTGTCACTTGTGGAATCACGAAAAACTATGGTACCCAAAATTCTCCCTAGGTGACATTTTAAAAGCTGTTGCAGGGTATCAGTTTAGAGTTAAGAGTGAATTATGTTACATACATGTGGTCCCCGCACACTGCATCTTTTATGTGGGGGTTACAGGGGTGCTTTAAATTTTTTTTTGTTTTTTACAAAAAAAAAATAAATAAATAAATAAAGCTGCTCAGATCACTTTTTTTGTGTGTACATTGGTAGACAAGTGGTTAAAAAAAAAATTGGACAAAGTATACCTTTATTCTACAGTGTTTAAAGTGGAACTAAAATTGATTCTTTTACAACGCTTTGAAAAGTTATTTACAAGTGAGGTTAAAGGGATATGAAAGGCTTACATTTTTTTTCTAAAAATAACAAACATATTATTCTTACCTGCTGTGTGCAGTGGTTTTGTACAGAGCAGCCTGGATCCTCCAAGAAGAAGAGGTTCTTGGGTCTCCCGTCGGCTCTCCTGGCCCCTACCTCCAGTCTGGTGCCCCTACAGCAAGCATCTTGTATGGGGGCACCTGCTGTTCTGTGTGTCCATTCACACATGGAGCTGTGGCCCGGCCCTGCCCCTTCTTTTTTTTTTTTTTTTATTATTGGCTCACTGGCTGTGGCTCCTGTTGCTGTCTCAGCCAATGAGGAAAGGGAGTCCTGGGATAGCTGAGACTCCAGTGCACATCGCTTGATCGAGATGGGGCTTAGGTGGGGGGAGGGGGGCTGTTGCACAGAGAAGGGTTTTACCTTCATGCATAGAATGCATGAAGATAAAAAACCTTGAGCCATTACGAACACTTTAAGGGTTGTTTGTTTATTTTATTAACTATTATTTAAAAAATTAAAATAGGGAATATAGTTGAATGGAGAAGGGGGAAAGAAGTTAATCAGAGTGGATTAGGGGTAAATTTAGGGTTAAAGAGAGGTTAAATGGAGACATCCATTTGACTTGCCTATGCAGAGCAGATACAAAAGTAACACTTTTACCCTATCTCTCTATTTTGCATTTGCATGGTGTAAATAAACAGTCGGTCTTTTTTTTTTTTTTTTTTTTTTGTGTGTGGCTTTGCCACTACTGTCAACAAAGACATTATGTACAATGTGGGAACAATGCTCACTGCATGTCCTACTTTGTTCATGGTATCTGAGTCCAGAGAGAAGACTGGAGGGCTGGGTGCTGCAGGACCTTTGATTAAAGTTGTTGTAAACCTCAAACATGAAACCTGTAAAAAGCACATCATTCTATACTGTATGACCTGATGCCGGTCTCTTCATTGGGTTATATGTAAGGATTTTCAGCCACTTTAAGGTATGAGTCCATATTATATCTATCCCTAGACAAGGTTTTCTTCTTTGGGCCAGCTCAAAGTTCATTTTTAGGGTAGCTTCAAACACTAAATGGATGACCTTTTAAGCTGCACAACCTTAAACCATATTGTATTCCCCAATGTGTGCACATGCAAAGCGTTGAATATTGCTTGAGCTGAGCTGCATCTAACATTTTCTTTTTTTTTTTTTCTTTACAGCCTGCAGATCTCAAGAAAAGAGTAGAGTCATTAATAGAAAGGGACTACATGGAAAGAGACAAGGAGAACCCAAACCAGTACAATTACGTTGCCTAAAAAGCCTTTGTCTCAATGGGCATCTAGTGGATATTAAAATATAGCCTGTTGATCCTAAGAAATTAACTTTGTACAACATCGATCGTTGAATGAAGTATAGGTGAAGAAGAAAATATGAGAAGGTTCTTCCAACAATTTGAAATGCCCATTTAACGAGTACACTTTACATTTATCAAGAATGCTGTTGAACTCTTTGTTTTGCATGTTATTTACAATGATGTGCGCAGCAAGCTGCAAGAGTATAATTTCTGAGCTCTGGTCCGTCCGACAGACGGAAGATCATTACATGGTCACGCAACCCCTGTTCCAGCCTCTGACACGACTATAAAAGATGCAGAATCGGCATAGTATCCTTTGTGCTTAAAAACTGCATGCAACCTAGTCAGCTAACCATGTGAAAAAAGGCTCCACGATGCCCAGTCTCTCAAGCCATCCAATTAATCCTAACCTGGACATTTGGTGCTTATGTCTCTTCCAATATGAGAGACATTGTACACAGTGCATTGAAAGATCTATTAATTGTGACCTTTGATCTCTAGCTCCTGTTGTAAACTTTAGGGTATATTACCTATTGAAATACAACTAATATTTAAGGTGTGGACTAAACTGGGGTATAACATGGGGGATATCCACCATAACTTTTTATGGCCATTTAAACACTAGAAGCAACACTTGCTTGTACAGTATACATTTTGTTCTGTTTTTGTTATGATTGGCACATTTTTTAGCAGTTACCGTCTCCTGAATTTCTAAAATATTTCATTTTGTCACATGACCTCCTGCAAATGCTTGTTGCCATTGACAGGGCTTTTTGTGAGCCTTGAGCAGCTGGTTTTCTAGCGATATTTGAGTGAATTGCAACCCAGGCAAAATCACCTAGGACTCTGTGCATTTTGTGCCTTTATTAAAGACTAGTAGAATCTATGCTCCAGACATATGTCTTTACCTTCTCCATAACTGAAGGTTTATTTGGGTAAAAGTTAGTTTAATTTTATAAATGTAATATTTCACTTAAAGTGGTAGTTCCACTATAATTCAGGCTTTACTACTCAGACCCGTCATATTTATGTTCTAGCCCTTTGTACTTTAAACCGAATATAGATTGCTCCTTAATTTGTAGCAGGAGCAAATGCAGCCTTGTACAGGATTACCAGTGTTGCCTTTTGTTTTATGTTGTCAATTAAACTATTCTGTCTTAAAGGTTGACAGACTGATCATTTTGGACATGTTTTGGTAATCTGTGGAAATTCAGTTTTTCTTGCTGTATGCCTTACCTATTGGTTAGAGACACTGATTGGCAGAGCATGTTAGATAACATCAGTAATTAGTACAGCATCATCTGTGTTTTAATACCTGTAATCCTTCTGCAACTGTGGATAGATATTCATCATTGTCTACAGCGGTACAGCCTCCAGACAGATTTCACTGAAGTATGCATTTTTCTCTAGTCATGTGATACTTTATGGCCACTTAGAGATTACATAGATGTATGTAATACTTTGAGCACACCAAATCTCTATCCAGGAGGTCATTGTATATGTTCAATTTTTGACCTGCGTTGGGTTGACCCTTTGGTTGTGAGTTATCTACTACAAAGGTGCTCACTTCCTTTCTGTATTTAGGAGCATAACTTCTGTTGTCAGCTAGTCCATACACTAGTTATGTAAAATATTTCAGCTGCTAATATTTTAATTTCTGGTTCTACTTTTTTTTTTAAATATGTTGTAGGCGTACTATGAGACAAAAATGTGTCAGCGAGTGCTCTGTTTTCAGTAGATTCTAGATAAAGGTATAGACACATTTGTTTTTGCTGCGTGTGGTACATCTTTGCTGAGTACTGTTCACAGTTAGTGGAATACTGCTTGGCGTGCCAGGCAGATGTGTCTCTTGAACCCATGTATTGGAACTATTCATGAAAAGAAGGAACATGACTAAATGGGTTATGTTGAATGGTCCCTATGTAAATTACCAGAATGTTTTGTGTAGAGTTCAAACCTAATGTATAATGTGCATTTTCCAGTTGTTAAACAGAACTCATCTTGGGAGCAGATTAAGCACCTTGGTCTGTTTGGCCTTGTTAGCAGCAAATAACAGTGGATATCATGTTCGTCATTATTAATGCTTAGTCATCTGTTCTTTTTTCCCCCCCAGGCTCAGATGTTTGTAGACTACTTTTGTACTGTCAAAGTTATTGAATTGGAGCTGTGAAGGGGGAAAAGACCTTTTTTTTTTTTTTTTTTTTTTTTTTTTTTTTTTTTTAACTTTTATGGGGTGTTTTAACTCTTGCTGAAAGCAGCAATACAAATAAATTATTGTGTATTTGAAAAATACTTTTGCTGTCCATATCCATACCTAAGACATACATAATTACCTAGTTAGATGCAACCTCTTAAGCTGGCCTCATCTTGGGTTTACATTAAATGTTGTGGCATACAACAGGCAGTTTATGGAACGTGTGGCTAGGCTTTTTTTTTGTAATATCACGTGACTGCTTTTTTTTTTTTTTTTTTTTCCCCCCCACTTGGTCAACTTTTTATTGAGTGTGTGATTTTGGATTTTTTAAAATCATAATTTACCCTTAAGTGCCAAAAAGCAGCAAATTAAAATCCTAATAATTTATAGTACAAAAAAAAAAATGTAGTGCTTTGTTTTAAAATTGTGGCCAAACGTTCCCCCCCCCCCCCCGCCCCATTTTTCTCAGTTTTTATGTTTATACCATTTTGTGTCCTGCAGCATAAAAAGTAACACTCGGGTGGCATTAGATGAGTGTTTCTACATACTTTTGTTGTTTTTATCAGAGCACATGCAAGTTTTTTTTACAATGATACAACTTGTATTTGAATATTTCCAGCCATAATTGATTTTCTGTTAACTGCCAGGTGATTGTAGATGTCTGGGTTCATGGTTGGAAGATGCATTCACACTTGACACTACTGTGATAGGCCAAGATTGGCTATGCAGTTACATTTCCTGTGTCATCTTCTTTCCTGAGTTGTTGAATAGCTCCCTTTTTTTTTTCTACCTAATAGTGCAAGCTTTTCAGGCTGTGGTAATTACTTGGTGATCTTGCTAGTTTCTTCTGCCTCTATAGGCTTCTAGTAGGGTGACAATGCAAATCACAGGCTACCACGCTACCTGAGAAATTGCAGGCAGCTGTGCCAATTAGTGTCCCCATTTTTGCCCTGGGGCCAAACCCCCTGAACCACCCACTAGTGTTTCACAGCCATGCAGCAGAGGAGGGGGTTCTTTCTGCACATGCAGAAATGTCACAGGAAGTCGTGTGCTGCTGGCTTTTTCATGCCAACAGCCCTGACCTCCAAACACAGAAATGGAGCACAGTCACCTGTCCACAAACAAAAAGAGCACTCTGTAGAAACAGTGGGTTTTGTGTCGAACCTTCTTTTGTCTATCAACCACTTGCCCTCCTGAGGATATACCCCCCCCCCCTTCCTGACCAGGCCATTTTTGGGTTACGGCACTGCGGTACTTTAAGTGACAATTGCGCAGTCGTGCAATGCTGCGCCCAAATGAAATGTACATCCTTTTTTTTCTCACGAATTGAGCTTTCGTTTGGTGGTATTGGATCGCCTGTTCAGTTTTTATTTTTGCGCTATAAAAAAAAAAGACTGAAAATTTGGAGAAGAAAAAATATTTTTGACTTTTTGCTATTAAACATGTCCAGTAAAAAAAAAAAATTATCAAATTTCGTCAAATTTAGGCCATAATGTATTCTGCTACATGTCTTTGCTAAAAAAAAAAAAAAAATCCCAATATGTGTAAATGAATTGCTTTACGTGAAAGTTTTTGCATTTACAAATGGCGGTATATATACTGGGATTCTTTTTTAAATTTTTACCAGTAATGCCTGCGATCAGCGACTTATAGCAGGACTGCGGCAGGCATTCTGACACTGGGGGTAACTGACTTGGTGTCACTGACATCCTCAGTGACACCAATACAGTGATCAGTGCTAAAAAATAAAATCATTGACACTGTACTAATGGCACTGGGCAGGAAGGGGTTAACATGAGGGTCAATCAAAGGGTTAACTGTGTGCTGTTTTACTAAGTGCTGTGTCCATGTGCTTCACTGTAAGCATACTGCTTTGCATAGCTGTTCTCTGCTATGCAAGGCAGTGTGCACCAGCTGACAGGGAGGAGAACTGTTTTGTTTACAAGCACCGGCGGCCGGCGAATAATCACTGGCCGGGACTCGGTGATTGACAGTCGTGGCCGCACACGCCCCCTACTCGGAAATGCAAATTCACATACATATGCATGATTTTGCAAACCCGTGTCTCCCTGTAGCAGTATTTTTGCTATAGGGCGGTCGGGAACCGGTTAAAGGCCATTTATACAAGAGATATTTTCATTGAAAAATCAGGAAAATTGATCTGTAGAGCTGGCAGTGGTTACACAAGTCTGCCTCAAGTGATTGTAGATGAAAATGCGCATTCTTGACTCCAGCTCAGGTAGCATCATTTCAATCGTATTTTTGTTTTTTTCTTATAAATCTTTTCAGCACAGCAGTGCATTACTTGGAGAACAATCTGTTGCAGCAAATATCTTTTGGGGAGGTTTGGAATGGCCTGTCGTAAGCTGGCTGTAGATGGTGGTTTGTTTTTTTTTGGGGGGGGGTTTTTCCCCCCAGCATGCTGAACAACGAAAAACAGATTCCATCATCCACACAAGTAAGGTGGATAGAGGACAATATATTCTGACAGCAGGACCCACCGCTATCAGAATACACTGATTCGGCAGCTGCTGATCAAGAAACGTTTTCCAGCATTCACCTTTGACAGAAGTCAATGAAATGATTGACTTCTGACAAGCTGAGATTGTCCCGAAATTCAGCCAGGTTCTGCTGAAGCAGTCGAATGTCAATCCATCTATGGCCAGCTTCAGATCTTTAGTTGGTCCTGCAGCCTAGGGACCTTAGAAATGTGTTTGATCCAGTTTGTGGTCCCAACCTTGGTCACATCCATAGACACTAGAAAGTAA